TTTTTTTCTGGTCTGTAAGTCAAATCTCAGTCTGCAAGTCAAACCTAAATTTTGCGGCCAGAGAAGTCTGTAACGCAAAAAGTCTGTAAGTCAAGCCGTCTGTAAGTCAAGGGTCCACTGTACTCCCTTAGCAATGGGTACTTTTCACTCTGAAATACTGGGTGTATCAATCTGTTCTGGGTTTTAGCTTGGACTTTGCAGGAGCTAATCAAGGTCTTGAATGCTGCACACCTACCCAAAAAGGTTCAGGATCTTGGATATTTACTGTAAAGTTTATATTAAAGCCTGGGGCAGATTCCTCATCTCCACAGTATCACCAAGCTCCATTGTTTTCTAGGTCCTTTTCTTTCTGATAAAACATCAAGGTAACAGCCTAGAGTCAAACTAGGGCAAAAGTTACAAATTACTCTCTCTCTCTCTCTTTCCTAATTTGAGATGCATAAAGAAACAACAAATGATGCCCTGTATTCCCTTCATCTTTGAAACACAGCTCAGAGATGTGGTTTGGGTTGTTGTCAAAACTATGGGTTCCACCAGCGAGAAAAGGTTCAGGATCTTGGATATTTACTGTAAAGTTTATATTAAAGCCTGGGGCAGATTCCTCATCTCCACAATATCACCAAGCTCCATTGTTTTCTAGGTCCTTTTCTCTCTGATAAAACATCAAGGTACCAGCCTAGAGTCAAACTAGGGCAAAAGTTACAAATTACTCTCTCTCTCTCTCTCTCTCTCTCTTTTTCCTAATTTGAAATGCATAAAGAAACAACAAATGATGCCCTGTATTCCCTTCATCTGTGAAACACAGCGCAGAGATGTGGTTTGGGTTGTTGTCAAAACTATGGGTTCCACCAGCGAGAGTTACTTTTTAAAAATCAGAATTGTGGGTCTCAAACTTTTGCAGTAGTACATGCCAACTCAATGCACAATTCCAACTGATGTTCAGTGATCATATCACCTGCCAGTTTAAAACCAGAATTAAGGTTTTTCTTGGATTGGCTTATGCTCCACAAAGCCAGGACATTGGAAGCGAAGGCTAATTCTCCGATTGATGTCTCTCATGATTGAGAATGACATTTACAAATGGTGCTTGCTCATACAGTGCTCTCCATGCATCCACACTTTGCCAGCCCAAATTCAAATGGAGAGGATGCAGTCCCTGTGACCAGTAGAGATCCTTGAACTTCTTTTTGTCCTACGCTGCCTTACGGAACATGGCGATACCTGATCTGAGCCTTACTGTATTACTAGATCGATCTGCCTGCAACTTGACTCATGCCTCTTTGTGGCGTAGATCAGGATCTGCTTGACTTTCAATGAAGAAATGAAAATGGATAAACTAATTTTCCTGCACTTCATCTCATGGAATCTAAAGGGATATAAAAACTATAAGAACCTTTGACCTGCTACTGAGAATTTCACCAAACCAATGAAGAGGAAGTTCCACAACAAGCTTGACTGAAATGCATCAGTAGTTTTCACCAGACTTGACAGAAACACATGATATGACTTTCCAGAAACTGGATGGAGAAAAGTCAATATGTCAATACTGTGCTCTGTGTCATTATAGCTGCATGGTAGTGCAAGCTATGTTATTGCTCAGCAGAGCAAATCAGCATTCTGCAAGGCAATACTAAAAATGGGACCAGCCCAAACAAATATTACATCTTTAAAACTGGATTTTGGATCAGCACCATATTTTGCACAGGTGTAGCAAACAATTAGCACTCACACTTGTTGAAAAACAACCCTGACAGTTGTTTTGTGTTTGAGTGATATGTGGTTAACTGATGAAAAAAGGAGCCAGGTTTTGGGATTTTTCTTTCTTTGGTATCACATTGCAAATGGTAATAAGCACAAGAGGCTATAGGCCATCTTGACTGCTGCCATTGGTGTTGTCAACATTCAGGCTTCCCTTTGCTATGTAAAGCTTGGCATCCTTTTTCCTGCTGGCAACTTGGGCACAATATTGTGCAGCACTATCATGCAGTCACCTGGCATTTTTAATTGTGGATACAGAACCACCATATCCCACATTCGTAAACCAGAAGATTTCTCAAGAACGGAATGTGTTCTAGCAATGTTTATAGATGAGTTTGAAATAATATCTGTAGACTTCATCAGATGGATGGAGGATGTCAAGTTTCAGGGGTCAGTTCTATAAGCAACAACATTTTCAGGCTTAGAATTATGGAATTTCTGGAGCATTGCATGCACACATGCCAAAGGGGTATCACTATGTCTTTTTAATTACATGTATCTATCAGGATAAATGGATACCCAGTGAGGTGTAGTGGATAGAGTGACAGACTGGGACTCGGAAGGCCTGAATTTGAATCCCTGCTCACCCACGGAAACTCACTGGTGGAATGGAACTGGTGAAACAGCTCCTTAAATATCTCACTTACCTTGAAAACATTATTATAAATCGGTTCCGACTTGACAGCACGTAACAACAATCAGGCTAAATGCTAGATTGATATATCAGTCACTTGGAGTACTACTTAGCCAGGGATTTGGAGTTAAAACTTCACAGTGTGCCTCCCACAAGAGGAGCTAGACTGTGTAGCCTTGACCAAACAGCACAGTCCTAGGGCTCCACCATCCTTAAACTCTTTCTAAATACTTTATATCCAGGAAACTTTGGAAAGGATCGCCATAAATGGGAATTGACCTGATGGGACATTAATATTATTACCACCAAGATAAATCTCAATACAAACCTCGGTTATCACGGAGAGTAAAATTAGGCTTCTGGATCATTTCTGGTGGCAAAGTGAAGATAAATCTTGGTCCATTGGCTGTATCATCCTTGTCTTCTGCAGTAATTGTAATTAATGGCTGCAAAAGAAAGGCCCAGGTAAGTGTGGAGTGCATTTTAAAGAGCAAGTGGCTTCACAAGTGAAAAATGGCTATAAGACTAGAGGGTATGTAAGTTTGTAGCTGTTTCCCAAGCCTGGGCGGCACAACATGAACATAAAAAGAGCTCAATCAGAGCAACAGCCATCTCAATGGGAAGAACACAGTGGCTCTCCAAGTACTCCTGGACTCCCGGTCTCATCAGTCACAGCTAGCGTTGCTAACAATGCAGGATCATGGGAGTTGAAGTTCAAAAAAAAAAATCTGATGGAACATACATGCCCAATCCCACCCTTCTATCTGGTATCATGTTTCCTGTGGGACCCACCCAGATAAAAACAGCCCTCTCACAAGCAACAGGAAATTCAGGTATATACAGTATACATATAATATACACATAATATACACATCAGTGGCCTGTTGCAGTCGATGAATCTTGTTTCTATTACTGAGGTACAGTGGTGCCTCACTTAGCAATGTAATCCGTTCCGGAAAAAACATCACTAAGTGGTGGCCTGTTGCAGTCAATGAATCTGGTTTCTATTACTGAGGTGCAATGGTGCCTCACTTAGCAATCTAATCCGTTCCAGAAAAAACATCGCTAAGTGATTTAATCGCTAAGCAATATTAAAAAGCCCACAGGAACGTATTAAAACGTGTTTAATACGTTCCTATACGTTCCTACTTACCTTAAAGCAAAATTCCTCCATAGCAGCGGCCATTTTGGGTGCCTCTAAAATGAGGCAAAATAGCGGCAGTCATTTTGTTATTGTGGCAGCCATTTTGGAACCGCCGATCATCATTTTGTTATTGCGGCAGCCATTTTGGAACCGCCATTCAGCTGTTTAAAAAAGTTTGCTTTGCCATGACTGCTTCCCCGCGATCATTGCAAAGCGAATTTGAGCCATAGGGGCCATCGCTAAGCGATCGCTCCAGCGATGGCCAAAAGTCCATCACAAAGCGATTTCATCGCTCAACGGAGCAATGGCTAAGCAAGGCACCACTGTATTCCTGTTTTTTCCATTGCCACCACTTAATCCTCTCATACTGCAAAACTGGCAGAGCACAATACAGGAAGAGCTTCGGATCAAAAGGGCAAACTCTGTCAGGACCAGCTCATGCCCATGACATTTGGGTGAGCAATTTCCAGAAGCCTGGGGCCTCATCTACTATCCTCGGCATATCTAACGTCCTGCCTTCTTCCCTGGAAAGCCACACCGGTGAGGACAGGAAAAAGAGCCTTCTTTGTCTCTGCTCCCAGGCTATGGATTTGTCTCTGGTGGGAGGCCAGGGTGGGGACTCTTTGCTGTCCTTCTGCAACAAGGTGGAAACATTTCCCTTGAGGTAGGCTTTTTTTAAAAAAATACACTTTGTTTTGTTTTAATATTTTAAGCCACCTTGGGTCCTCTTGAGAAAAAAAGGTGGATATAAATATTTTAGACAGACAGACAGACAGACAGAGAGACAGACAGACAGAGGTCTGTAATGACCAGAAGTGATTGACAGGAAACGCAAGGGGCCATTTCAGGCCAATTGCACCTACAATGTGACTTATTCAGGCTCTCAGAAGCGTTCAGGTTATTTCCCATTTTGAAATAAAAGGAAATTCTGAAGACATTGTTCAAAAAAGCAAAACAAAACATTTTTTTCCAAAGCTCTGTGAATTGCTCATCGTTTCATGCCCAGTTAAGTGTTTGCTTTGTGACAGATGAATGAATGAATACGAAGGCAGACAGGAAACTCTGTGGCAGAGGAATTGTCATGTACACAGAAGGACTCAGTTTCCGATAAAACTGAGGAAGATTCCAGTCTGAAATTCAGAAATTCCATTGGTCAATGGAGACAAAACTTAGCTGACTTGCTGTATTGGTTAATGAAGTTTTTATCTCACCTTTCTACTGCATAAAGGGTGAGTTTAAAGCTTTATATCCAGACAGTTTTCTGTGTTCCAGTAGGGCAGGGGTGGCTTGCATGTGGTGTGTCATCACACGCAATCACCAGCACTTCACCAGCACTTCCATATATGCACCTATTTATTTATTTGGAAACATGTTTTGGATTGAATGCCTCCTCGTGATCTCTAGGTGTTATACAAGGCAATCTTACCATATTGTGACATGTGCCCCACAAATAGATGTATTTGTCCCTTAAAAAAAACCTATGCCCTAAAGGGCAAAAGGAGCTTTGCAGTTAAAAAATATTTTTGCAACAAAAAAGCTGGAGGGTCATGGGACCGTTTCTCCATGATTCATGTTGTTATGGTAGTACAGTGGTGCCTCTCATAACGAGTGCACCGTTTAACGATGAATCCGCATAGCCATCTATTTTTTGGGATCGCTAATGCGATCGCATTGCGATGTTCTGAATGGGCAAAAATCGCATTGCGATGTTTTTAGAATGTCTGATCGACGGTTCCATTTTTGCGCGCTGACCTCGCTTACTGAGGTGGCGAAAATGGCGGGAAAAAAGCTGGAGGGTCATGAGACCATGTCTCCATGGTTCATGTTGTTATGGTGGTAATTGGGTGGTATGAGGGAAAAATCTTATCAAAACTCATAGATGTTTTGCTTTCTAGAATTTATACCCCATTGAGTTGGGATTTGCTTGAAATTTTCCAAAGTGGTCTCTCTTTCGGCATTATGCCTCATATTAAGCCGTCTCATAGATGCCTTTGTTCTTGCAAAGTTACATCAATGCCGAATGAATTTTTCTTTAAGTCTCTCCACTTACACAGGACAAAGTTCTTTGACTTTTAATAGTTAGGTGCTTGCATTAAAAGCTGCACTTACTGAAATTTCTAAATTTAAAATGATGGTTAAAGTTAAGGATGGAGAATGGATTAACGTCGCTATGCGGGGCACCACTGTAATTATACTAGGGGAGGGGGAAGAATCTTATCAAAACTCATATAAGTTTTGCTTTCTAGAATTTATACCTCATTGAGTTGGGATCTGCTTGAAGTTTTCCAAAGTGGTCTCTCTTTCAGCATTATGCCTCATATTAAGCCGTCTCATATATGCCTTTGTTCTTGCAAAGTTACATCAATGCCGAATGAATTTTTCTTTAAGTCTCTCCACTTACACAAGACAAAGTTCTTTGACTTTTAATACTTAGGTGCTTGCATTAAAAGCTGCACTTACTGAAATTTCTAAATTTAAAGTGATGGTTAAAGTTAAGGATGGGATTTTTGAATTGTAAGGATTTCCATCCTGGGAATTCTCCTGGAATCCCCCAGGCACAATTCAGGGGCTGGGTGGGGAAAAAGCAGAAGGAAAATAGGCTTCTTTCTGCCATCATATTGTGCCCTTCTCCACATGTATCCGTCTATACAATCTGAAAGGCCTGTCCCTAATTAAAGCTACAAGGAGCCTGTCTTCTTTTTCACATGGTCAACTAAACATCCCATTTCATCACTGTTAATCACAAATGAAACACATCACACACATTACCTCGTTGGTCTGTGCCTTTTCACAAATAACTGTTTCATAGGGAGCTGCAAATTTTGGAGCGTTGTCATTTACATCAAGGACCTTGATTGCTACAGGAACTTTAGCTTCCTGGTGCCGGTTATCTATAACAGTCATTGAGAAGAAGGAGAATCAGAAGAGGGTTAATTTTGTGAAAACAATGTTTTCTAGCGATACTATCAGGAAAAGGAAATCTGTTCCGTCTTTGAACAGGTCAGATGTGTCTTGTGCTACCTGAAAACCAACAATCCTCACATTACAAAGGATTTGCCTCCAAATCTCATTATGAGCATGTTTTTATTAAACTCTGACACTATAAACTCAATTACTGTTGAGTCTTGGACATTAATATGGATATTTTCTTGTTTTTTTACTTCACAGTTATTTCTCCAGAGTTTATCATTCTTCCAGTCCTTGTTTCATTTTCAGTAGGGGATAAGGATAGGTGCTAGCTTCAGTAAAAAAAATAAATCCAAAAGAGGCAAAGCAGTGATATTTATACATTATTGGGACAGATAGAGGCGGTTTAAAAAGTCCCCCATTGACTTTTTGACTACAAATCACTGAAGTTTGTTTCAGAGTTTTTGAGGCTTAAATTCCTGAAAGCAGAATGAAAATACTGAGGGCTGGGCATGGTAGCAAAAGAAGGAAGCATGGGAAGAAGTGTTTGGTGAGACATGGCTGATCTTTCTTCATATGTGTGTTTTCTGCCTTATACTCTGCTAACTAAAATGAAAATACTGAGGGCTGGGCATGGTAGCAAAAGAAGGAAGCATGGAAAGAAATGTCTGGTGAGACATGGCTGATCTTAGTCTTCTTGTGTTTGTGTTCCATTGGCTCCAGGTTGTAGGGGTACTCGGTAACAGCTTTTATTTCCCCAAACAAGTAGAGAATAGTCAAATTCATAGCAACCTTTTTTTGCAAAAGCCCTAATGTAGATCTAATGAATCTCTGAATGCTGCCAGTCTCCTCTTGTGTTTGTGTTCCATTCGCTCCAGGTTGTAGGGGTACTCAGTAACAGCTTTTATTTCCCCAAACAAGTAGGCAGAAACAGAAATTTGGACTTTAACTCTTTGGCAGCAGGCTGTAGTCCCTCCTCCTTGCCTGACAGAGGCCTGGGAGCTAAGGTCTTCCCCGGGCTCTCACAAGGCATAGACAGACCCTGTTTGTGGTGGCGACCCCATCACAGTATTGTTTGACCAACAGTCACTCAATGGAGAAACAGAGCAGGTTTTGCAAAACCAAAACGAGGCATTGCCCAAAATTCAGTTGTCTTGCATAGCAAATTGTTTTAGAGGTAGAGATGGAGGTATTTGTATTCGTATATGCAAATTGCGTTAGAGGTAGAGATGGAGGTATTCGTATTCGTATACGAATACAGGCGGAAATAATGAGGAAATAATGAGGGTCGACTCACAATTTCACCGCTGTCACCAGCTCTGCGGTGGCTTCCTATTGTGCTGTTCTCTGCAATGAATTAGCCACTCTCCGACCTATCAGAGACACTTGTCATCCTGCCTCCTGCCAGGACTGGGCGTTAGAGGTAGAGATGGAGGTATTCGTATTCGTATACGAATACAGGCGGAAATAATGAGGAAATAATGAGGGTCGACTCACAATTTCACCGCTGTCACCAGCTCTGCGGTGGCTTCCTATTGTGCTGTTCTCTGCAATGAATTAGCCACTCTCCGACCTATCAGAGACACTTGTCATCCTGCCTCCTGCCAGGACTGGGTAATCAATCGTGGACAACAGCGCGATAGGCAGCGGCGAAATAACCCTCGTTATTCCCACCTGTTCAGAGATATTCATATTCGTAAACAAATACGAATACCCCCATCTCTAATTAGAGTATGCTCACTAAATCAATAGTGAGTTAACTCCCCTATAAGTTCTATTGCTTTGAGGAGGCCTACTCCAATTGCAACTTGCTATGTTAAAGTAAGTCACCCTTAAGGAACAATTGACTGACCAAATACCCACCAAGTCAATGGGCATAGTTTAGTGTGAGTCACTATGCTAAGCAACAGGATATTGGGCTTTGTATTCAATTTGAGGCAAAGCAAAACTTTGTCAAAGCAAATTGAACAGAAGTGCCCTATTATCTCAAAGGACTGAGGGGTGTGTGTGTGTGTTCCAAAATGACCTGTTCCCTCTACTCACAGACATATCTTCTAGGCACACAAGAATTATATTGTATATGGGAGACCATTTTGGGGTTAATAATAATGATCATGTGCTGTAAAGTCAATTTGAACTTATGGTGACCCATTTCAGGGTTTCCCAGGTCGAGAATACTCAGAGATCGTTTCCCATTCCCTTCTGCTCGGGGTGTCCTGGAACAGTCCAGACTACCTATACAGCTGTGTTAGAGTTAAAATAATAGTTGGATTCAGACACGTAGGATTTCATACCACTAGTATGTTGCTCCAAATGTAGACTGCAGTAGTATTTTACTATAATTTATTTTTAAAAAGGCAACAAACAATAACAAACCATAATTTTGGGATGAACACTTACGGACTTCAGATGCAAATACTGAGATATTATGCCATGCCATTTCTTCTCTATCCAGCTTTTTTGTGGTCGTAATTGAACCATCTTCTGCACTGATAGTGAAATATCTGTCAAGGTTAGTGTGACGATCAATTGAATATCTAAAAGGGGATGCAAATGAAGTAATTAGAGGAGAATTATTCAGTGTCCTCAGTTCATTTAATGTCTCCCAAACAGTGTATCACGTCCTACTTTAAAAATAGCTTGGCGGCAGCATACTTAGCAAGATGAAAATATTAATTAGCCCTCCTAAATCACTTCTAGATGACAAGGGATTGTCATCCCTTACCAGTTCTTGCAAACAGACACATGAGCAAGGTTGTCTCATAGCAATGCAAAACATGCTGCATCGTCATGTCTTAGGGTCAGGGAATAATGGTGTCACAAGCACATGTCACTAGAATAGAGGTATCCTATTTGGACATTCTGAGCCATGTCATTACAACTTTAGGGAACAGAAGAGCAGAAACGTGGACTTATTTCCACTGTTCCATCCTCTCCTGGCTCTGCCATCTCTAAACAGTCCAAAAAGTGGAGTACCTTTGAAGAAAGGGATACCATTGGAAATATGTCCATTTTAATGTGAAATTAAGTTGGCGTAGACATATACATTTGCAGCAAAACCAAAAGAATAACAAAAAAAGAGAAGACGACAAAAACATTGTGGCACCTTAAAAAAATAACAGCTACATTGTAATGTGAGCTTTTCTGGAAAACTCCGCTTGCATGGCTACATCTTCTAAAATATATACATTTGAGGCACTTATCTTGCTGCTCGCTGTTCTTGTTTTCTTTGAACTTTTATTTATTTATTTATTTATTTATTTATTTATTTATTTATTTATTTATTTATTTATTTATTTATTTATACCCCACCCATCTAGACCAAAGGTCTACTCTGGGCAGCATTACAAATTTTAAAACAGTAAAACCAATAATTTTTTTCTCCTACTATGCTTTTTCTTTTTTAAAAAAAATGCTTTAATTCAATGCAACTGTATTTTAATATTGTTGTCTTACTGCCTTGTTAGGTGTATCTAATAAACCTATTTTCTAGGACTTGGACTGAGTGTAACTATCACACAATGTTACGCTGTAGGGTTGGCCCAGGAAGTACTGGAAGTGCTTCGGATATATCAAAAGAACGAACAGTCTTATTATTTTAGTGTTGTGCTTGTTTTGATGTGCTAATTTATGAATTTTAATATTATAATATGACTTTTTTTTAAAGCTGGACTAGTTGGCTGGCATTTCGCACTCACACAAAGTTGAGATATAAATAGATAAAACACATTTATAAATAGCTGCTACTTTTTTCATGAACACTTCCTATCACCAACATTCTCAACATAATATTTTAATGGTATTGCATACTGTATCTTTCTACCTACTTAATACAGATGAATCTTGTTGATTCAGTGCTCAGGGCCTATAGTGTGACATATATCTTTCTGGAGCAAAAAGATAAAATGCTAACCCCAGCCATACTTATTGTATTGAAAACAGATGCATCTCTTGGTTTGGTAGGAACTTGGTTACACAGTGACTGATACTGCCACGTCTGAGACTAAATCTTGGGAGCTGAAGGGCTGTGTTAAGACCGTGCTATCAGAGGAGGTTGCGCTCTAGATTCAGACAAATCACAAATCCTGAATTGAATCAGGCAGAGTCAGGCTGATATGTATGA